CCTCTGGCCCCCACCCATTTTCCCTCACAAGCGTTTTCCCTAGGAAACCTCTTCTGTGCCTAATCCCATTTTGGCACCTGCTCCTCAGAGAACCCAATCCAGCACGAGTGGTGCCAGTGGTGGTCCAAGAAAACAGGCTGTGATAAGACGGGGTCTGGGACAGCACCAGGCATTGCCTGGTGGACAAGACGGACACTGTCCTGATGGAGGTGTTGGGTACAGATAGTCTCAGGCATGGGACGGCAGTCCAACTACTAAAGATTTCTCTGGAGATAACCTGCGAACCCTGGGAGAATGGCCTGGCAGATGTGGTGATTCAGATTTTTGAAACACAGGAGAAGAATAAGGCCTACAGAGACAGTGGAGATGGCTGGACACTATGGAGTTGTACTGGACACACTGTAGCCGAGGGAACGGAAATGGAAGACAGTTAATAAGTAACTAAAGACCAAGCGTGAGAGCCAGAGGGCTTCTGCGGAGCTCACAAAGCCCTTTCTCTTGCAGTGGAGGAGCAGACCAAGAGAGAACATAATGGAGAGGCCCAACTCAAGGGAGATTGGATCCTCAATATTTAATATGTGGCGCATCTGCTTTGTGCAAGTCAGGGCCACATGATTCCATGTGGTTGGAAAATCCTGGGATCCTGAGACATGGAGTGGGAACATCTGGCCAGACACTCCTCAGGGTGTTGGCTCTGCGACCCCCACCCGGGCTTCAGTTTGCAGAGGGGACCACTCTTCTCTCCTAACAGCTAGCATTTCCTCTGGGCTGAAGATGCCGCAGAGCCTGCTCCGATGAGGCAACTCGCGCCCCCCTCCGAGAAGCTGTCCCTGGCCCCTCTCCTGGTTACGAAGCTGATAACTAGGAGTAAATCCCAGCATAACCTGGCCGCATTAGTCGTTAGCCGAACTAAGAGAAGAAAGTATACACCAAAGAGCTGCAAGAATTAGCTGACAGGTACTGACAGGAGCCAAGGAAGCACTGGGGTTGGATTTCAAGGGCGCTCTATCAAAAGGGGGCTGAAAAGCAAAAATTCATAGACTTGGGAGCACATTCTCAGAATACAGATTTAATTCCCCCACAAGGACCCTCAGGGGGTACAAAGTTTCTGCTAAGGTGGTTGGTTCTTAGAGGCCTGGAGAAAGTGATGGCTACTACTGAGCAAAGTATTAACGCCTGAGCTGGCCTGACCAATGGCAGAAGGAATGAAAAGGCAGAGGGAAGCAGACACAGTGCAGTGGATAGATTGCATGAAGTCAAAAACCCCATGAGAGGGTAGTATTCCACGGTGGTGGGCGGGGTGGGGGGGCATGGCGGGAGGCAGAGGACACCTCCTTTACCAAGGCCATCAGGAAGGCAGTGGGAAAAGGGGCACTGGTAGCACTACATTCAAAGATGACCCCCTCTGTAGGCCAGGGATGGCAGTAAGAGACCATCACAGAGCTGGGGCCCAGAGAAAGAAAGACCAGGTCTCCACCTGCTACCCACCAGAAGCCAGGAGGCCCCAAATACCAGAATAAACCACAAGGCCTGAGAGGCAGCCAAGGGACATTTACCTAGGGAATTGCAGCGATGGCAGATGTACGATGTGTCCCTATGAATAATACAGATGGGACAGCCAGCAAGGGTATCAAAATCTACAAGCTGAGAAAGGCAACAGGGCAGGAACAGGGGTTTAAGGGAGGTTTTCCCCAATAAAAAGTCCTAATTCCTTGCTCAGTTTCAGACTTCAGCTGTTTTCTGACCTGGAAGAGGTAGCTGGTTCCCTAGAAGGAAGGATAATGATGAATTCTGCCCCACTCCACCAAGTACTATAGCCATTTACTTCCATGTATATATACATGGGGAAGAATAGCCAGACATTGGAGGAATATGGACTCGAGATCAAAGCTGACACTGATACCTACAGACCTGAAGCGTGATCATAGCCCTGTTAGGCTGGGGGATTCAGGGCTGAGTAATGACTGAAGTCCTGGCCTGAAACAAGATTCACAGGGGGCCTACAGAACTACCTAGTGGTCATGTCCTACTCCTCAAGGGTGTAAGAAGAATTGAGTTGGCACTTGAGAGTAATGCCCACGTGGGTCCCGGGCCTGTAGGGCAAGAGCTGTCAGTGAGGAAAGTCAAACCTCTGAAACAGATCCCCTCCACCAGGGACAAGAATAGAGATGGTTACTTTTCTGTGTCAACTTGGCTCAGGCTATAGTACCCAACTAGTCAATCAAACATCAATCTAGGTGTGCTATGAAAGTATTTCATAGATGTGATTACCATCTACCACTGGTTGATTTTAAGTAAAGGAGATTATCCTTGATAATCAGGGTGGGCCTTACCCAGTCAGTCGAAGAACTTAATAGCAAAACTGTGATTTTCCTGATGAAATTCTGCCTGTGGACTGCAGTTTCAGCTCCTGCCAAAGCATTCAGCTGCCAGCCTGTCCTATAAATTTCAGACTTGCCTAACCAGTTCCCACAACTGCGTAATTCAATTCCTTGCCATACAAACACACACACACACACACACACACACACACACAGGCACATCTCAGAGCTATTGGGGTTTCAGTTCCAGACCACAATAAAGCAAGTCACTTGTATCTCTTCATTTCCCAGTATATATAAAACTTGTTTACACTGTACTGTAGTCTATTAAGTATGCAACAGCATTATGTGTTAAACAAAAACAATGAGCATACCTTAATTTAAAAATACTTTATTGCTAAAAAATACTAACCACCATCTAAGCCTTCGGTGAATCATAACCACTAATCACTGATCACCCTAACAAATGTAATAATAATGAAAATTTTGAAATATTGTGATTACTGAAATCTGACAGAGAAACAAAGTGAGAAAATGCTGTTGGAAAAATGACACTGAGACTTATTCAACACAGGGTTATCACAAACCCTTAAATTTGTTTAAAAAAAAAAGAAAGAAAAAGAAAAAAATAACAACAACAAAAACCAGTTATCTGTGAAGCAAAATTAAGCAAAGAGCAATAAAACGAGATATGCCTATATGCTTTCTCATTAGGAATTGGCTTACAGCAGGATATATATAACCTACTGGTTGTTTTCCTGGTATAACACTAATACATAAATCAAAACACTATTACATCTCAGGAGAGACAGTAGATCAGTGCGACCATTAAGAACCTAAAAGATGCAGAAAATGGTAGCCCCTGTACCTTTGCACCTATAGCCAAATGGGGGTTCCTCCATGACTAGCTGAGGCAGAAAACAGCTTGAGCTTAATTTCCAGGTGGGTCAGCTCTGTATGTGGGTGCAAAATGAAGAGGAATGGTATCTGCATTACAGCCACATTCAGGGGTGGAGAAGGAAACTTTCCAAGGGACAGGACCTCAAGAAGTGCATCTAACTTGGTGTAAAAGAACTGGCCTAAAGTGAGAATATTCATTGGATATATACAGACTCCTGGGCAGTGGCCAATGGCCTGGCCATCTCATTGGGAGACTGGAAGGACCAGGGCTGAAGATCAGAGACAAGGAGAGCTGGTGTAAAGACAGTGGACTGACATGCGGGAGGAGGCAGAGTGTGAACATTTCTGTATCCCATGCTAACAGCCATCAGGACATCCACTATGGAAGAGGCACTAAACTGCCCAGCAGACAAAATGACTGAGCCAGGGCCTTTGTCAGCGGTTACCACAAAACCAGCACAATGGACACATAAACACAGTGCCACACGGCTGATGAAGGCCCAGCACCAAGGACTCCTGCTTCCCCAGGCGGATCTAGTGGGACTCCTCCTGACAGGTGCTTTGGCTCAAGGACTCACGCTACCATTGGTCTTGCTGACACATTCTCAGAACTCCACAGCAGTCTGAGACTTTTCCTCCCCAACCTTCCTTCCTGCCTTCCCAATTCTCTAGAGGTTAGTCCTCTATCAGAGTCTGACTGCTTTCCCAGACTCCTCCGACCTCTTTTCCCATCTTCTTTCGTGGGCATTTTCCCCTAAAAAAAAAATCTCTCACACATCTAACCTTGGATTCAAACTAAGATATGAGGTCAACTAATTTAATGGGCTCACTAAAGCTCTGTTCCTTTGTTCTGAAGGGTCAGAAGTTCCATTTTAGTGATTCAGTAGCAATACCAAGGTGCTGTGAACTAATTCCTACCTAACTCATAAGGGACTGATCGATAAAATGAAAGGACAAGATTCTCCAGATGAGAAAACAACTGCCAAGGAGACCAGAGAGATAGGCATTAAGCTGACAAAGCATTCCTAGCTCAGCAAGGACGGCTACTTGAAAAGGAAACTTGGCCCATAGGTAGGCTGGTATGTCACAAACATGGAAACGGAGCTGGCTAGCCAAAAGGCATAAACAAACCCAAATGACCATCCACTGAGGAATGGATAAACAAAATGCGGTCTATCCATACAGTGGGATATTATTCAGACATAAAAAGGAACAAAGTATCGGGACATCTGGGTGGCTCAGTTGATTAGGCATCTGCCTTCAGCTCAGGTCATGATCCCAGGATCCTGGGATCGATTCTTGCTCAGCGTGAAGCCTGCTTCTCCCTCTCCCTCTGCCTACCACTCCTCCTGCTTGTGCTCTCGCTCACAAATAAATGTTTAAAAATCTTTAAAAAAATAAAAAGGAACAAAGTACTGACCAATACTACAACATGGATGAACCTCAAAAACACACAAGTGACCGCAGACACAAAAGCCCATAAGTTGTAGGATTCCACTTAAATAAAATGTCCAAAATAGGTAGTTCCACAGAAACAGAAAGCAGATTGGTAGTCGACAGGGATGAGGAGGAGGGAATGGAGAGTAACTGCTTCATGGGCACAGGGTTTCATTCTGGGGTGGTGGAAAGATTTTAGAACTACACAGGGGTGGCGTTTTGGTGCACCATGAATGTACCAAATGCCACTGAATTGTTCCCTTTAAAATGGTTAATGTGATGTTATGTGAATTTCACCTTGATAAAATTAAATAAATAAATAAATAGCAAGGAGGTGCATGGATGTTAAAAAAGAGACATTTTTTTTAAATTTTTTAAAAGGAGGGTGGGGTGCAGAAGGAGGGGCCTGGTGTTAAGAATCACTATTGCATTCATATCAAGTTGTCCAGACCTAGTCAAACCACCCTTCTCTATGCTACGGCTGTACCTGCCAATGGAAAGGTCACCCACACCTCTAGCACAAAGACTAGAATTCTAGAACTGCTTGGTATTTCCCCTTTCCTAGCAATTTCATCATGAATGGGGGTCGTAAATTCAAGGGCCACATTTATGAAACCAAATCTAGGATACCTCGTCTGGTAAGTACTGAGCAAATTCCCAGGAACAAGAAATTTACTCAAAACTCCAGGCTCTGTGGCTGTTAAAACTACAGCTCTCGGTGACTCTAGTACTCAAGGGATTGGAAGAATTCAGCCTCAGAGAGTTTACTTACAGTAACAGTAAAAGCCTAACTGAATATGACTGCATTTGAAAGCGCACATTCATTTCCAGTTCTATCGGGCCACCAGACAGGCCACGGCTTCAGTGGTGCCTGCGGTCACTGAGGTTAGAGGACTCCCGGTCCCGGGAGTGCCGGGCCCTCTTATGCCTGTTCGACCTCTCTCGGCTCCTACTTCTACTTCTCTGACTACACCCCTCAGAACGCCCACTGGGCCAGCTGGAATATGTGTCTGAGCTTCGAACTCTGTCTCTATCTCTGTTCTTTTCTTCTCTCTCTTCCTTCCTGATTGAGAACTTATGTTCATGCTTCACCTTCTCTTTCTTCAGCTCCCGCTCTCTGTCCTCTGCGCCACCGCGGCAGGTCGCCCTGACCTCAGGAGAGCTGTGCTGGTGCTTTCGCAGCTCTCTGAGCTCTGACTTCTGGCCCTTCTCTGAGTTCTTGCTGCTGTGCTTTTTAGAGTCAGGGTCATCCTCTTCCTTTACCATCTTGTTTCTGGGTGGTGAAGAGGAGGGTGGCTGCTCTGCCTGTACCTCCCGGTCAGTCTTCTCTTTGTCTTTCTTTCTTCTCTTTTTTTCCTTTTTGTCTGGAGGAAAAAGGGGCACAACCAGTAAGAGGACGATGGAGGAGAGTGAGGGTATGCAAAAGGAAAGCCTGTGGGCAGCAGTGAGAAGCAGTCATACTCTACACTTCCAGAAAGTGTCTCTGAGAAGCCAACTTGGATGGCTGTCCCCCTTGATACGTCAAGTTGCTGTATAAGGCAATTCTCACCCTTAATTACCATGTTAAAGATGCTGCCTCCAAATACAGTCACATTCGGAGGTACTGAGGGATTAGCACTTCAACATATGAATTTGAGGAGACAGAATTCAGCCCGTAATATTAGTCTTTCCACTTTCCCAATTAAAGTAAGATTTCCCACACCTTTTCCCTTCATACTTAAGAACTGATTATCAACTCTCAGTGAACGCTGGGAAGAACAAACACTAAGACTACCTAGAATCTTCTCTTGGGTCTTAACACTTTACCTTTTTTGTGTTTTTTTGTGGGTTTGTCATCTTCAGAACCCTCAGCTGAACTCACTGAGGGGGTGCGAGCGCCACAGCCCTTCTCCTGGAGTTCTTTGGTCACATCATCTGTTTCTTCTGAGTCCTTAGGAGCTCGATAGTTAGACACATGATCCACTCGGATAGTTCGTCCTTTGATCTAAGACAGAGGCAATGCTTCAGCAGAGATGGCCCTCCCATTGGGCTCTTTGAACCCAGCTGCAGAACGCCATGCCTTTGAACCACACCCTTTACCTTCCTGCTAATTCTGTTGCTGGGGAAATCTCTAAAGCAGACCTGCCCAACTGGTGTGTCACAGCACACAGACCTAGGTAATAATTTCCTCAGCCTTTGGGGCAGCCAGCTGGGGCCTGGGGCAGCTGGAGTCCCTGAGGCTCTTGTACCAGGCAGTCTTGTACCTCACAGTCTACCCCAGTGTGCCACACAATAACCTTCATGTTCTACATGTACCATTAAGTGAAAAAAGGCTGGGGCAGTACTGCCCCGAGGGGAAACTGAGAATTTACATGCATAAACAATGAATTACTGGCAGTCTGTAACATTAATTCACTGTAAAACATGATGTGGCCTGGCAGCTAGAACGAATTCCTGAAATCAAGTGCAGTGATGCAGCTGTTTTCTTGATACAGCAATTAGGATGAGGCCAAGGCAGACCAACAGCTGGGAAGGGAAAGAGATCTTTCTTCTTAAGCCCTCACACCTTGCTCTACTCCCACCATACTGGAACAATGGCTCACACTGGTATTTTTGCTGTGAACCAGAACTCTCTGGGTGAACAATAAAAAATTAACCCCTCCCTCACTTAAAAAACATTCAGGCAGAGCCCCTGGGTGGCTCAGTCAGCTGAGTGTCTGCCATAGGCTCAGGTCATGATCCCCGAGCCCCACGGCAGGCTCCCTGCTCAATAGGGGGTCTGCTTCTCCCTCTCCCTCTGCCCCTCCCCCGGCTCCTTCTGTCTCTCTCTCTCTCAAATAAATAAATAAAATCTTCAAAAAATTCAGGCAGATACAGACCTATTCTATAGGCAAAATCATCCAAAATGTTAAAAGTCTGGCTTTTGTTGTTCCCACACAAGAGCAGATTTTTATTCTTACCTTTAAGCCTGAGTAGTCAGTCATTTTTCCTATTCCCCTTTTGAAAACATTTTTGAAAACCTCCCTTTTATGGTGACTCCATTTGACTGCTGGCTCTCTTAAGAATTAAACCTAGTACCTTGTTCCACCCTGTCCTAGAGTCTCCAGCTGTTCCACACTGGTGCAATCAGTGACAAACTCTCCAGGTCAAAAGTCAACCCCCCAACCTATGACAGTGCTTATCCAACTGCAGTGCTTTCCCTAAATAAGCACAGGGACCAGGTAGAGCACCGATAGGCCTGACCTGCCCATCAACTTCTCTCAGGCCAGGGGTGGAGAGGGAACAGAGGAGAAACAACTTCAGAATGAGTTACTTTTGTAGAATTTGTCATCACACTTTAACTAGAGAATTTCCAGGGCCCAGTAATGTTAAGTCAGTGGAGATATATGACAGACCCACAGAGCTCTGTCTTAGAGCATGAAGCCATGAGAGCCCCAAATCCCAATAGAGCATAGCATGGAAGAGCAGCATTTGCTAGTCTTTTTGTTGCCCAGTACATCAGAGATGAGAGTGGGTATGAGAATGGAAAGGTGTGAAGCCAGAGGCTTGGTTGGGAGTGGGGGGCATGATAACTATGCTCCTGGGAAGATGAACATGAGGAAAAGGAACAAGTGTTAGCAGGGTCGTATGCTAGTGAAATTATTTCCTGGGATCATTTCCTGGTCAGTATGTCCCCACACCTCGGCAACCCTCTCAACACACCCAGGTGACCAGTACTGTCCTTGTACCTGTGGCAATCAGGTGGGAAATTAAACTGAACCCTTACATACAGGAAAAGTCCAGCCAAATTCTGTTTAGTGAACACACTCACCTTGATCCCATTAAAATTGTCAACAGCCAGAATTGTGCTCCTCTGGTCTTCATAGCAAAGGAAACAGAATCCTTTGGATTTCCCAGTCTTCTTGTCCCGCACCAGATTAATGTTAACAATCTCCCCATATCTATTTATTTTATAAAAGAGTAAGACACTATTGATTTAAAATGCAAAAACTTCCAGATTAAATGACAAAACAAAATTCAGATAATATAATCTGTATAGGAGACGCATCTAGAACAAGATAACATAAAAAGGTTAAAAATAAAAATTAGACAAAGACAGAGCAGGAACACCCAATTACAAAAATTATGGGTGGTAGTATTAAGATCAAAGATGAATTCAAGGCCAAAAAAATATTTAAATGGGACTAAGAGAGCTCTTTTACACTGAAAAGGGTCCTAATATATTACAAAGATATGTCATGAAACCTTACGCATAAGTTCACAAGTCAAAAATTTAATTAAAGAAACTATTAAAAATAAAAGGAGAAACTAATAACAAAAGTAATGCGATAGTTTAACATGCCACTTAAGTTTATAACACATAAAGTTGACAAAAATAAGGTCAAAGGAATTAATATCAATATATAACTATATATCATAAATATAAATAAATATAACAATGTAACAATTATGTTGTTAATAAATATTAATGTCAAAGTACCGGATACATATATTTGAATCTTACAAAAAGAGGACAATTTCTTCTCAAGAATCCACGAAACATGTATTAAAATTGGTTACAGAATAAACCTCAATAATGTCCAAAAACAGAACAGAACATGTTCTCCAATCACAATGTAATACAGCTGGAAATCATATTTTAAATAAAAAAATGTGCTTCTAGCTAACTTGAAACCTAGCTAACAACTGGATGAAAGTGAAATAAAGAAAAAAAAATCAATGGCAGACTACTTAAAAAACAACAAAAATGAGAAGAATATATACCAGAACTTACAGGATGCAGCTAAAATCACAATCAGAAAAATCTGTGACTTTTAGGAATTTTACTGTTAAAAAGGCAGAATGAATATAAAAGAAAACAAATCAAAGAAAAGCCAATGGGAGTTAATAAAGATAAAAGCACAAAGTAATGGAAAAAAGAAAAAAGTTCTACCTTACTCCTTATACAGAGTTAAATTCCAGGTAAGTGAAAGATTCATAAGCTAAAGAGTAAAGTCATAGAAATAAAATAAGAATTGATGGATACTTAATAACATGTTCACATACATACAGCCCGGCCAGCTATGTAGCACCTTACCTAACAGAAAATACAGGTTTCCCTGCCACCTGAATGTTCACTTTATGCCCCTTCACTTTTACAAAAGACCTATATTAGTACCTGTCTTCACTAACCGAAAGAAAGCTGAAGAGGATTTTCACTTTTATGATATGGTAACTGCTTCATCACTTTATGCCACTGTAGCTTAGAAAGCTTTCACAGAACACTCTACCTTCAGATAGCAAGGGAAACCCGTATTGGAGCTGATTCAACTAAGGACAGGAGCTATTTAACACTGTTTAATATTGTAGGTACAGGCCAGTGCAATTAGAAAGGAGAAATCAAATGTAAAAAATGAAAAAGTAATCTTTTTCATTCTATTTGAAGATTTATTTATGTATATGTTTATATATGTATAGAAAACTCAAGAGAATCGATGACAAAAACAAGCAGTATAGTAATTCAGTAAGGTAACAGGATGTAAAGTTAAAAAAAATAAATCACTCTCTTACAAACAATAATCAGAGGATATAACCAAAGAGAAACCCCATTTGTATTAGCAACAAAAAAAGATAAAATACTTAGAAATAAACTTAACAACAAGCAATGTACAAAGTCCATATAGAGAAAATTTTTTAAAACTGAAAGACACACATAGTATTGAATAAAGACATCCTTTGTTTTTAGGTAGGATGACTCAACATCATAAAGACAGCAACATCTTCCCCCAAGTTAATATTGAAATTTAATGTAGTACAAGTTGTGTTTCACTTTCCTGGAGCTGGATCCATTGATTCTAAAGTTCTTATGGAAAAATGAACATGTAAGAGTAGATGGAAAATCTTTAAAAAAGAACACTGAGGAGTAACTCTCCCAGATATTAAATACACTGAAAAAATGCTATGAATAACTAGTGTGCTGCTGGCACATGAAGAGACAGACAGACCAACAGAAGAGAATAGAAAGCCATGAAAGAGATTCAAGTATATATAGAAAAATTAGTAATATGATAAAGGTGACATCCCAATTTGCTGGGAGAAAATACGAACGTTTTTATAAATGTTGGGACAACTGGAGAGCTACTAAAAAAACACAATGAAATTGGATCTGTGTCTCATACTATACATCAGAATAACTCTAAATGGACCAGAATAACTATAAATATCGGAATAACTTCAATTCATAAAAATGAAACTATACAAGTACTAGAAGGGAGCACAGATGGGCGGGTGGGGAGATATACTATCTAATTATGACTCAAAATCCAGAAGCAACAAAAAAAAAAAAACCCTGATAAATCTGACCATATAAAACACTAGAGTGTGAGACTATACAGGGTCAGCACAAAGGAGTTTTGGGGATGATGGAATTGTTATTCATCCTAACTGTGGGGGTGACTACACAAATCTATACACGTATTAAAGCTCACAGGACTGTACACTCCCTAAAAAAATCAATTTTACCATATAATTTAAACACATGAATGAATAAAAAAATTTTTTAATTTTGCACAGCAAGAAAAAAATCACAATGAAGTCAAAAGACAAATGACAAAATTGGAGAAAATATTTACAACTCTTATCGCAGATAAAGGACCACAAAGCAGTTTTTTTCCTTTCGCTATAAAGAAGATCATCAAGACAACTGGTGAAGCTGAATAAAGTCTGTGGATTAGATAATAATATTGTATCAGTGTTAACTTCCTGAATTTGTTCCCCATACTGAGGTTAAACAAGAGAATGCCCTTGTTGTGGGGGGAAATACATATTGAAGAATTTAGGGATAAATGGGCATCATGTCTGCAACTGACTCTCAAATGGCTCAGAACAAAATAACAGATACACATGGGGAGAAATAACGACAAAACAAATGTAGTAAAATAATAATATCTGGGGAATCTAAGCGGAGGGAAACAGGTATTCTTTACGCTACTTTATAACTTTCTTATTTTAAACCTGAAATTATCTCAAAATAAAAAGTAAAAGAAAAGATAATATAGCAACTCATTTAAACGGACTCCTATAGACCAAACTGGGCCAATTTGAACATCAAGAAATAATAATGATGATAATGTAGTATAATACATCAAATTAAGTAAAGTAAGTCCACAGTAACACAATACATGACAAGTGGTATAACAGAGTTAAAACCATTAAGAGCTTTTGTAAAATCACTAAGAAAATGAGGAACACACCAACAGAAGAAAACAAGCAAGAATATGAAAAGACAACTTAAAATAAACAAGAAATAATGGCATGTAAATCTATAAAAGATGTTTTACCTCACTGATGATTAGAGGGAAAGTAAACTCATAATGAGAAACCATATGACAAATATATTTTTTTAAATAACAGCTGCTAATTAGGATTCAGAAAAATGGACATTCTAGTGAGAGTAGAAACTGGTACAACCTTCTCAGACAGCCATTTGGCTATACTTATAAAACATCTTAAAAATGCTAACACGGGGCTCCTGGGTGGCTCAGTGGGTTAAAGCCTCTGCCCTTCGGCTCAGGTCATGATCCCAGGGTCCTGGGATCGGGCCCCGCATGAGGCTCTCTGCTAGGCGGGGAACCTGCTTCCCCCACTCTCTCTCTGCCTGCCTCTCTGCCTATTTGTGATCTGTTAAATAAATAAATAAAATCTTTAAAAAAATGAAATAAAAAATAAAAATGTTAACATACTGATCTAGTAATTTCACTATGGAAACTATCAGGAATGCATACAAAGGATGTATGTACTATAATGTATACTGCAATACAATTTATAACAGCAAATAATGCCCAACATTTAAAAAAAGATGATAAAGAAATATACCAAAATGTTAACAGCTTTTCTTTAAAGTACGTTCTAATTTCTTCTTTATGCTTTTCCTTTTTCCAAATGTTCTATAATGATTATACATTACCTTGATAATCAGAAAAATTTTTTTTGAAAACTACTGTTACCAATGGCAAAGGCAATCTTCATGGAGAGCAATGTGTACAGCCAAAATAGACAAACACACCAGCTGATCATCACTCAATGCAAGTAAGACAAAAACACTCCCTAGATGGAAGGGTGGACGAGGCAGAGGTATCATAAGGGGTGGAAGTTACAGGTTGCACCTACTGTGAACTTCCAGCTCCCCAAAAGTAGGAGGAAAGAGCCTCTGTCCCTCTCCGGGTGCTTTGCCAGTGTGGGCTGCTGAGGCCCTCTCCCATGGCCTTCTCATGTGTGCTGCCCAATTTCTTTCCCATGGCCCTCTCCCCCACATGCTGCCCAACCAGTGAGGGTCCTTTTCCTATCGGACAGCCCAACCATCCCCTGCCACAGCAATGTCTCTCCCATGGTGTGCTGGCTGTTTGCTTCCCCAAACCCTTCTACCCCAGTCCTCTGCCTGTACATGCTGTCCAACTTTTCTACAACAATCCTCTGCCCTCAGGGCCCCTCTGGCCTTACGGACTATCCAACCATTCTGTGTAGCTCTGAGCTGTGCCTAGCCCCTCTCCTACCAGCTGCCACTACTAGTGCAAGCTGCCAAGATGCTCTCCCACCCAATGCTGCTGCTTTCATCTCACAGCAGAACAAGGAAAGTAAGGTTCACCTCGTCATTCTTATTCCTCATCAGCCTGTAATTCTCAGCTTCCGGGTAAAGAGATAATGGCTCTGCTCATTAACCTTACACTCATCTATAAACTAAGAAAACAAACTACTGACTAAAGCTTTTTGCTTTTTCTCCCATTTCTCTGTGCTTTGCCCTAATGCTACAACACCACACAGATGTAGGCCGGGGGCCCTGTGATCATGGATTACCCTTAGTTTGCAGGAGCCCAAGGAGCCCAAGTAGCCCTGAGTTCCAGTCTGTTCCAGTGTAGGCCCAGGCTGAACAAGCTTCACTGAAAAAGCAATAAAAATAGACCAGAATCCCCAAGACAGCCTCCTAAATCATCCAACTTCTTGGATTTTCCATATTGGAAGAGCTCTACAACCATGTCCTGGGGCTGATCTAGACTACAGGAGACGCTCCAGCCCTCCCCATGCAGGGAGGCCAGTTAGCTTAGCATAAAATAAATGGATTTTGTGTGATGCCACAAAATGCATTATGGAAGCATACTCTGATGACCTAGAAGGCAGGAAATGAAAAAGGACTTACTGTGAGAACACACAGATGATGTCCCCTTCAGTCAGTTCATAAGGAAGCCCTCCTAGAAGAAAAAACCACATTTAACATTTACCAAGTGTCTACAAGCATACCATGCACTAGGCCCAGCACTGGTGGGTGCAAAGAAGAGTAAGCCAGAGAGTCTGCCCTCAAAGAATTCAGTCTGATGATACGACAGAAGCATATATAAAGTGCAGTACTAGTGCAGCAAAAGGAGTGATTAACTGTGGAAAAGTCGGTGTCACCACTAACCAAATACTCCTCACACCCAAAATCTTAGGGACAAAGCAGATAGTTTCCGGCATAAAACTCTGCTTCCACAAACATATCTCGAACACACCTGCTCTTTACCCAGAAATTCACAGCTAAGATCCAAAAATCAGTTTAAATATGAAAATATTAACCTCACCTCACATAGACTAAGGATTTTAAAATTCTTTTAAAATTCTTAATTGTCTTTATAGATAACTTTCAGCATTTCACAGGACATAAATTCCCCTGCAAATCTCTCCTTCTTCATCTGTAAAATGGGGACTTTAGTATTTACTTCACAGAACTGTTGTAAGAATTAAATAAAACAATGGATATAAGTGCTTAGCACAATATCTGGTGCAATAACTTCTTTGAACAAACTGTCATATTACTGGAAGTGACACAAAGTGAATATAGATATGACAATATGGCCGTGGACAGAAGGCAGGAGCTAATTAGATGAGAGAAATGAATTCTGAGGGAAGGGGAAAGGGCAGGGGACTAGCAATCATACAGGATCGTGCCTAAGACCGTGAGTTCTAGAATCCCATAGTTCTGGCTGTCCCACTTACTAGCCATGTGGCCTTAAGGAAGTCCATTAACTTCCCTGCACCCCAGTTTCCCTAGCTGTGTAATAGGGGGACGCGGTATAATAATGGTCTCTGAAACCAAGAAACCAAGTGGCAAGACTCTTACCACAGTGAATGGCAAAGGGTTACTATCATGGACACTGACGTGACAGGGGGAGCAAACTAGAAATGGGAGAGAAAAGAGATATGGAAAACGGATTTACGGGGCAGCCAGCAGAAGGAAATAAAAGTGCGTGATGAATGCTGGGAGGAATGAAAGGCGGGAATGCCGAAAGGTTAGGAAGCAGGCCAGGAGAGGAGCAGCGCAGGAAAAAGATGTGGACCTCACCCAGGAAGATCCAGGCGCTGTCCTTGTACTCGGAGTGCCAGGACACCTTATCTGCCACCCCAAGCTGGACCTCACGCTCATTCAGCTCGTTGATCAGCTTCACTTTAGTTAAAGGGCTGCAGGGGGTGGGGGTGGGGGCAGAAAAACGGACATTAAGAGCGGCCTGGCCAGAGGTAAGGGAGAGCAAAACTAAGGGACTAATTTTCCAGTCTCTGCACCTCTCCTGCCCCTCGGCCCGGCAGACGCTCTACCACCCAAGTCCTGGTGGGCCACCTCCCGCGGCCCGTCCCTACTTCTTCAGAGGTAAACTGAGGCCTTACTTCATCTTCTCAAGTTCGCGCTCAGCACCGAGACACTGACTTCCGGGAGAGTCTGCACCGCGCCTGCGCGGCCCCAGCGTCACGCTCCCATTGGACTCCGCGGAGCTCACGTCGCGCCGGAAGAGCTTGGCCGCGCCGGGGCGTGGCTCCTACGCACTAGCGCGGGAAAGCATTTTCCTTGCTCCGCGGGTTTTGCTCTCCCGGGGAGTTTTTGTCTAGTCCTTCGGTTCGTCTCTCTGTGAAGCGGGGGCACGGGTGTCAGCCGGGTTTATTACAGGACCCTCAGCTGCTGGACTACGCCTGGCATTGATTGGGCTACCTATAAATATTTGCTGAATAAAGACTGAAAAAGGGTGCCCATTAAGGCGACTTTAGACCCAGCCTTTGCTCTCGATGCAAATCCCTACTCGGGCTTCACTCCCAGCCAACTGCTCACGCACACACACATCCATCAAAGCATCTCTGTTCAGGAATAAGAAGATAGGTGAGAGGGTAAATCTTTTTTTCTTTCTCAAATTCAAATGCATAGGCAACTGACCATTGTGCCTCCATAGGCTGAGTTGAATACCCAGATTTGTGTTAAGAGCTGTTACCCTCACCCACCCTTTCCCATTGTCTCGCTCCTACTTAAGCAGGAGGCAGAAATAGTGAAAAAGCTAATAATTGAGCAGATGCTAGATTGTGTACCTAGCAATTCACATGTACTGGCCCTCCATCCTCACAACCACCCTCATGGAATCAATACATACAATTACCCTCCTCATTTTACAGAGGAAGAAACAGATTCAAAGGAAGTACTCTGCCTCTACCTATCAGGTCTGGTTGATTTAATCAGTCCTTACTGAGCATCTGTATGTGTCCTGTATGGCATGTCTGCCGACAGGAATGTAAAGTGAGGTTCTCTGCCTGAGGGAACTAAATAATATCATTGAGGAGACAAGATATATTTGTTTGGTAGACTTCACTCCGAAAATAACCAGGAAATCTCCTAGAGAAGAGATGGTGGCATATAATGTGTGATTTAAGCCATACTGAAGTTTTGAATCCATAGTGTATGTGTCATCATCAATATCTGGTATCAGACCATGCATGGTCTAAAAGTGAAGTTCCAGAGCTGTGTAGTTCTCTGTGTAAGCCTACCTCAGAGCCCCAGGAATTAGGCACTTCATAAAGTACTTTGATGATAATGATGGTGATGATGACTACTGTACACTCAATGACTCAACATCTACCCATGTCCTGCCAAAAACCAGGAGACTCCCCACTATTGACAGTTTCTCTTCATTCATTCTGTTTTTGCCCCTCTCCCAGTCCAACCCAGCTATTCATTAACTTTGTGGAATTAACTTGGCAATGAAAACTAAACAGTGACAGACTGCATACAGGTTTTATCTGCTTCTGGGAATCTTAGGTTGCTTAGCTGTAGGATTGAAGTAGACACTACAAAGTGGTAAACTAGTAAGCATTATCTGGCTGGATTCTTCAGGCAACTGTAAAATGAGAGAAATAGGCCTACACCTGGGTCTTGGTCATCAGGAAGTTTCAAAAGGAAGCTGAAGCAAAAGAGGAGATTAAGACCAACCAAAGGGAAGGACAGTTTAGTTGGCTGGTGGAGGACATGGAAAGACTGCTATCTAGCTAGTGGGTTCAGCAGAGATATTCTGAACCTGGGAGAACTGAAAACCATCCCAGGTTACCTGGGACATCTTCATCAATGTGCTTCCAGTTGGTAGGAAATGGTAGATAAGATGATGCCTAGAGATTTCCACCAGTCTAAGTGGAAAGGGGATGAGGATCCAGGGAACCCTTTGAACTTTAGTGTCTGAGAGGAGGACCAGGGTTTGCTATTCAAGGTGGCTATTAGTGATCTCCACCAGTAACATGGATCTAGCATGCACTGTATGGAGAGCTCAGGTCTAGATTATCGGCCAATGCTAAGGAAGCCAAAGGCAATCCTCACATTCAAGGTAAGGCTAAGCAATATGTCCAGCCAATTTCATCTCTTCACTTCCCACCACATCACATCCCAAAACAACTTTCCCTCCTCACTTCCCTATTTCAAGCAATGCTATCACTATTTTCCTGGTTGTCCAGGTACAAAACAGGGGTTTCATATTTCAGTCTTCCCTATTCCTTACCCAAAGATATCTATCCAATACCAAGTCCTAATAATTGTGCTACTGGAATGTCTATAAAATGCATCTCATCCAGTAACAATTCTGTTTCTTTCTTTTTTTTAAATTTTATTTATTTATTTATTTATTTGAGAGAGAGGGAGTGAGAGAACATGAATGGCGGGGGAGGGGCAGAGGAAGAAGTAGGCTCCCCACTGACCTGGGAGCCAGATTTGGGCCTCTATCCCAGGCCCCAGGATCATGCTATAAGCTGAAGGCAGATGCTTAACTGACTGAGGCACCCAGGCGCCCCTACAGTTCTGTTTCATTACCACGTGCCTTCTAGGTCGTTCAGTACTTGTAGAACTGTCTTGTCCCCTATTCTCCAGTCTTTCCTCCCACTGCTCCCCAACACAAAGCCTCAACTTCAGCCAGGCTTCACTTCTATCCATTTCCTCAGGGGCTCCTTTCATTATCCAACCTAGACACCCTGATGGGAAATCCCCACCACCCTAGGCTGCTCTTCTCTCTCTGAAACCTGCCCAAGCTCCAAACTCCCATCCAGGCATCTCTCAAGCAGGAAATACCCTGACCTCATCAGTCCACAGCGGTGGTTCCCACTTCTGAACTCTGCAGCACATCACAACTCTTCATGTTATCTCCCCAGAAAGAATACGAGATCCTGAAAAATAAAGGTTCTTCCTTTTTAAGCCCTCAGCACCTCAAACACTTTTCTGCACGCATAGCAAGCAACCAATACAACTATTGGTTAATGAAATTGAAAACACAGAGAGCTATGGTTACCTTTAGGGAAGCAGATGAGGAAAGGAAAAGAGAGGCTTTTACTTTCCCTTTTTTTTCTTTCTATACTATTAGAATTTTCTTCCCTTTATCCAGATACCACTTATATTTTGTATTCTTATTCTTTTAAAGATTTTATTTATTTTATTTGACAGAGAGAGCACAAGTAGGGGGAGCGACAGGCAGAGGGAGAGGGAGAAGCAGGCTCCCCGCTGAGCAGAGAGCTCAACACAGGGCTTGATCCCAGGATGCTGGGATCATGACCTGTGCTAATGGCAGACGCTTAACCAACTGAGACACCTAGGTGTCCCATCACTTAAATTATTTATTGCCATGTTATCTTGGCAGAGAGTCATGACCTTTATTTTCTCACTTTTGTCTCTTATTCATTCAACAAATATTTATTGAGCAACTATTACATGCTAGACACTGTTCTAGGTGCTAGGGTTATAATAATAAACAAGGCAAGGAGAGTTCCTGTCCTCATGGAGTTTACATTCTTGGGGAAGAAGGAAAATAAACATATAAATACACATCCAACATTGAAAAGTGCTATGAAGGGTTAGGGACAGAGAGTGACAAAGTTTTGCTATTTTAAAAAGGTGATGGGTCAAAAAAGTCCTCTCTTATAAGCTGACATGGAGATAGAGACCTGGAAGAAGATGGGGAGCAAGCCATGGGGGTGTTTGGGAGAGGAATGTTCAGGCAGAGTGAACAGTAAGTATAAAGGTCCTGAGACAGGAGTGTGTTTGGGAAACAATAAAGAGGCCCAAGTGGCTAGAGAGGAGCAAGCAAGAAAGAGAATGACAGATTTTTGTTTATTTAACAAAATCTGATTCTGTACCCACCATGTACCAGATACTGTTCTAGGTACTTTCCACATATTAACACATTTACTTCTCACAACAATCCTACGTGGTAGATACTATTATCCCATGTTGCAGATGAGGAAATTGGGGCACAGAGAGGTCAAGTCATTTGCCCGATGTCACACAGCTGGTTAATGGTAGACCCAGGATTTGAATCCATGTGGTATGGCTCTAATGTCTGCATCCTTAGCCACTATGCACAGGATAGGTGGGGGTAAGAGGAAGAGATCAGGCAGGGACATGTTGAGTAGCAACTTTAGATTTGACTCAATGTGAGGTGAGAGGCCAACAAAGGATTCTGATCTGGCTTACATTTTAGCAGAATGATCTTGGCTGCAAACTGTGGGGTTGAGGAGAGTAGGTAGAGTCAGGGAGACTAGGAAGCTTTGCAATAATTCAGGCAAGAGATGATGGTGGTTTGCCTCAGGGAGCAGCTAGGGGGAGGGTGGCCCATGCTGGTATTTTTTAAACTAAAAAAATATATATTTTAAAACATAAAGAACACACATGACGCCAACAGAAAGGCATATCCTATGTTTACGAGAGCTCGGGTGCTGGGCTAGATACTGAGGATACTAAAGTAAACAAGACCACAAGACCTAACCCCTGCCTTTGAACAGCTCACAAGGTTGCCAGATAGTTGCATATGTGAATAAACAGAATACAAAGGGATGAGGGTCAAAATGAAGGTGTGAGTGAAATGTCATTGGAACCAGTTGAAGAATCAATTAATTCTGACTACTGGGGGGTCAGTGGGAGTGGAAAGCAGAGTGTCAAGGAAAGCTGCAGCAAGGCAGGGGACAGTTGGAAGGCAGAGAGGAAGACTGGTGTGGAGAAAACAGATGAATTTGGTTGGCAAATTGTTGAGTCTAAAGTACCCAAGGAGCCAACAATGGAGACCAAGGGGGAGGAGGACAGATGAAGATGAAGCAGCTGGGGAAAGTAGGATTCAAGAAGAGAGCAAAAGGTGATCAGTGGGGGCACCTGGGTGGCTCAGTGGGTTAAAGCCTCTGCCTTCAGCTCAGGTCATGATCTCAGGGTCCTGGGATCGAGCCCCGAGTCTTGGCTCTCTGCTCCACAGGGAGCCTGCTTCCTCCTCTCTCTCTCTCTCTCTCTCTCTCTCTGCCTGCCTCTCTGCCTACTGGTGATCTCTGCCTGTCAAATAAATAAATAAATAATCTTAAAAAAAAAAGGTGATCAGTGCTGTCAAGCACTGCAGAAAAGTTCTCATGGTGGAAGCACCTTTAAGTTTTCAGTGTTTATGCCTACTTATTTCAACTGGTCCAAAACAATGTCTGATCCTTAATTATAGGTTGCCTGGAGGAACAGAGAATAAGAAATGATGGGTTCTGTTAACACCATCTTACCATCTCTTCTGGGGATGTTAACCTGAATCCATACATGGGCTTCAGGGAGTGTATAAGGACCCTGCATTTGTTTGTATGATGTGTTTGTTACACGAACATGTATATTTTTAAGGAGAAGGTCCATAGCTTCCAACAGATTCCAAAATGGTTCCATGGTTCAGAAAACAACAGCTAAGGACCACTGCGTTAGAGCATGTAAGCATTATCTGTGAACACTGTCATCCACACATAGTTCAGAGCAGTTTGTAAAGCTTAGCAAGAACAGTTGCAGGACTGGCATGAGCTATGTGAGTCAGATATTGATCAACTGGAAGCACATCACAGCCCTGCTGGCTCCCCCCAGGCTCAGCACAGCTGCTTGCTCCCAGCATCTGACTCTTAGGTATAATCTTGATGAGCTAGACAGAGAATCCCAAACTCTTGAGGAAGTAAGGCCAAGTCACTTCCGGGGTGAACATGCCTTCTAGAAAATATATAGCAGATGTCCTTTTATCACTTGCTTGTTGTTGTTCTACTTTTCTCCAGTGCCCAGGTCAAAGCAGTAGTTTTCCAAACCTCAAACAACATGAAATCCAGAAGTGGCTAAGGGTTATGATGAGCTGACTTTAAAAACAGAATCCAGTTTCATGGAAGAAGGAAAAGAGTAAAGAAGAAATTGCTGGGGCAGTAGATGGCTCTGATTCCCATAGGAGCCCACCTATAATGACAAATCACATTTACTCTAAATTCATGATGTTAAGTCCCCGTTGGCCTACAGGCCTAAGGACCATGCGAGCAGAACTGAACTGAAGGGAGTTATTAGACCAGGTGGGATGAGGAGTAGAGGTAGGTTTAAGGAACTAGAGCTGAATACAAAAGTAATTCTGAGGGATGATAGGAGCCTGCCTAGAGCAGGAGTTCCTAAAACATCATCACAGTGGCACTGAAGCAGGTTGATCTC